GGGACCTGGGCAGAGGAGAGGAAGTCTAACAAATCTTTCACATGACTAAAGGACAGAATGTATTTTACATGGCTGAGGGGCATTCACATGCCCCATTGTGATGTGACCTAGAGGTGGAGCAAGGTGGCCCCACAGACGTCAGCGTCACTGTGTGCTGGGCACATTCACAGGCGCCTGGCCATGCCCCTAGCCCCTTCTCCCCTTGGCAGGAAGAGTGGCGTGTGTGCACCCCCATCTTTAAGATGCTCTCAACGCTGTGAATGTTTGAAATCCTTCAGTCTGGCATTGTGTGGAGCTTGAAGCTGCAAACCTTACTCAGGAAGCAGAGAATTACAGGGACAGCAGTGTGCTGTCCTTTGCCATCAGTGAAGCTTTTATCAACTTTATGGACAAATATTTTATTATTCTTCCCACCTCTTGTTTTCCATTTATTTTTCTGAGTCTGCGAGGCCCCCATTGTGAACTTTTCATGCATTCCCAACTGGGCTTCTGTTGCCAAAGTGGCGTTTTTAGCCTGTGGGAAAGAGCCGCCAGGTGTCCAGCAGCAGTCACCTGCCCCTTGGAGCTGCTGGGACACAGCCAGGCCCTGCCCTGCGGGACCCTGCCGCTGCAGCCTGGTCTCTCTAACAGTTTTCTGTCCAGTTGTGTTTTAGAGAGCTACCACTGAGCTGCTTTTAAGCACTAAAATCCGATGGCATTGACCAGTCATTTTCTTTGACTTGTGGAATCCTTTCATCTTTAGTCTTCTCCAGTTTATTGCTCTGGGCTGATAAGTAATTGTACCCACTCCTGCTAATAAATAGATGCACCAGCCTGACGCACCAACCACTGCTGATTTCATTGAGTTGTCCTGCTGGTTCTGTTGCTTCTGCGCCCCTTTCTGTGAACCTGTTCTAGGACTGTGTCTGTGGGCCCTGGCTTTTCTCCTAAACACCTGCTGGCGTCCCTCTTCTCCTCTCTGGGCCCAAGACCCTGCTGCCACAGTGTCCTCGGGCACCCTTCCCGTGCCCTGCCTTTGTCCATGGCTGGACATGTCTTCTGTGTTATTATTACCACCTTTCTAAGCCTTGCACCTCAAGTGTCTTTTTTTTTTTTTTTATGGTAATGGGACTTGAACCCAGGACACTCACACTGAGCTACATTTCCAGCCCTTTTTAAGGTTTGAGACAAGGTTACATTAAGTCACCCAGACTGAACTCAAACTTGACATCCTCTGGCCTCAGCCTCCCAGAGTGCTGGGACTGCAGGTGTGAACCAATGTGCCTGCTCAAGGGTCTTTTCTTTCATTGGGGCCTGAAGGGCTTCTTCTCCTTTGTCTTCTCTTGACCCACAGTCCCATTGTGCTGGGGAGCAAAGCTCGGGTCTCACGCATGCTACACCATGCAGTTTTAATTTCTGGGAACTTGTCAGCAAGATTCATCCATGTGCTAACAGTTGCAGGTGGGTGAATTTACTGAGCATGTGTTACTATGTTCTTATGACAGCTTTCCTAACCAGCCTGCAGAATCCAGGTTAGAGGGCACTTTAACTGCAGTTATGACCACAACAAATGCTCCTTGTTAGCTAAGGTGCCACATTTCGGGTAATTCACAGTCAAGGCCCGCATGTTCTTGGCACCCGATCCTACTTGGGGAGATCACCACTGACTACAGTAGAGCACTCAGGGATGTATTTTACTTGGGCATTTTGTATGAAATTTGGCTATTTTGTGGGACAAGGGCTGTGCCTTGACGTCTGATGAGACCTAGTTTTATGTAAATGACTTAGTTATAATCTAAAATGCGTTTTTTCTGTTTTTGTGGTACTGGCAGTTAAACCTGTAGAGTGCTGAGCTATATCCCCAGACCTTTGCACTTTTTATTGCCTTCTCATATTTTGTATTAGTATATATTGTTTACATAGATTCATGGGTTTCCTTTTGGCAGATTTGTACATGCACGTAACATACTTTCATGAACCTCTCTTTCCCCTGCCACCATTTTTTATTTTGAGACAAACTCTCATTAAGTTGCCCACGCTGGCCTGAAACTTGTGATCCTCCTACCTTAGCCTCCAGAGTGAGTACTGCACCCTACATTACTCAGCTAAAGTCTGTTTTTAACATTATTTCAAAAGGAAGCCGTGTACAGTGGTGCAGTCTTGTATCCCAGCACTCGGAGGCTGAGACAGGAGGATTGCAGTGAGTTTGCGGTCAGCTGGGGCTACATAGTGAAACCTTGTCTCAAAAAATAAACAAATTTCTTTCCAAAGGTATTAAAATCCTCACAAATTTAGAAGGCAAAGAAAACCTACTTTTTAAAAATTCATTTCTTCAGCATTTTATTGAAATGCAATAAACCCAAACCTGCAGTTCAGGTTCCATGGTTAGCAAGGCATGAAAGATGCTTTTTATTTTTTTGCATAGTCTGACTTGACAGGATGAGACTGATGTATCATAAACAATGCCCCATATAGCCATAGCAGTATCTTAGATTACCTTTAAAAGTCACTAAGGGGCCAGGCATGTTGGTACACACCTATAATCCCAGCTGCTCAGAGGCGGAGGCAGGACAGCTTAGTGAGGTCCTGTCTCAACATAAAATTTTAAAAAGGCTGGGGATGTAGCGTTAGAGTGCTTGCCTGGCATGTGGGAGGCCCCAGGTTCAATCTTACAACCAAAAAGTCACTAAAAAACTGTATATAAAAGTTTTCCAAAGTAAAGACCCTTCAGTCCTGCGAAGTTGACATTATTGGATTTACTTTCATATTTAAATTCCTATACAACTTATTTTCTAGAAATTCCCTACATTTTACATAAAAAGCAACCTGTTTAGTACTGAGTTCGATTTGTTTTTTATTAAATTAAATGGAATGTAATTAAATCGAGACAGTGTATAAGAAGCCTAGTTTGGTATTTCAGAAGAAAATTTTAAGTATCGAATAAAACAAGTCATTGAAAATCTGTATAGTTAATTGCATGGTGATTGGATTCTCATACTTTTTTTTTCTTTTTTGCAGTGCTGGGGTCAGACTCAGGGCCCTGTGCAGGCTAGGCATGGGCTTTGCCACTGAGCCACCCCTCCCTTCATGCCATTGTAATAGTTGGAAAGTGTATTTTCTGCTTGGATGTAAAGGAAATATTTTTTAAAATTTGTGATGACATCAAATAACCTAGTTTATTAAAAAATGGTTAGTTGATCTTGAAAGTTGGAAGTTTGTTTGAGTGTAAGAGTTGTAAATATAAAAACCAGCCTCTGGAAGGTAGTTAATTCGTGATGGAATCTATTTATTTTTGTGGTACTGGAGATTAAACCCAGAGCCTTTGCACTGAGCTATATCCACACCCCAAACTTTATTTTGAGATAGGATCTTGTTATGTCCCTAAGTTGCTGGGCTACTTGTGACCCTCTTGCCTCAGCCTCTCAGAATGATGAGATTACAGGCATGTGCCACCACACCCGGCTCATAAGAGATTTTAAATAAACCATTTGCAAACATAATTGACGTCATACTAGTTTTCCAGGTAACAGGGAGACTAGGGAAGTTTAACCAAGTCATCTAAGCCCCTCATCAATAAGTTTTGCAATATCCAATATGTGAAGATCAGTAAGGCTAAACTCAAGAGTTGTAAACAGATTCTCTAAAGATAGATTCATAGCCAAGGCCCAGCATAAAAATCTCTTTGGTAAACATAGGACTCGTGCTGTGTTCATTTTCCTTTTTCCTTGGCAGAGACAACATTAGGAGCTGAAGTGTTTTATGGTAATTGAACGCTATTCTCACTGACAGTTGGAAACAGCCTGATTAAAGTACTGCTTAAACTGATGTTACCAGAAGCCAGATCCCTCAGTGGCTCCCCTGGGTGTGTGTGTGTGTGTGTGTGTGTGTGTGTGTGTGTGTGTGCACCCTGCAGGTGTGCAGGGAAGTAGGGGGACATATCTCTTTCTGAGGGGGAAGGGAAGCATTAAAGTACATACGGAGGAGAATAGAGAATTTCCCTGCGTTTAAAAGCTAAGACATGAGCCAGGTTCTGGACACATGTTTGTAATCTCAGCTACTTGGGCAGCTGAGACGGGGTACAAGTTTGAGGCCAATCTGGGCAACTTAGATCCTGTCTCAATAAAAAGAAAAACATGAAATTTCAGAGATTCTTCTGGAGGTGGGGAGAAACTTAACCTTCTGCTCCTTAGCTGCAGTTGCTAACACCTGCCGCCTGACACACAGGACTCCAGCAGTGTGCGGTGCTACGTTTCTCACTAGCTGGATTTCAGATTTTGGTTTTGTATAGGTTCCAGAACCTGGGACTTGCCTGTCTCAAAGGAGTCACAAGAATGCATTAGTCAGAGTGACAGAAGTAAAGGCTAGGGCTGGGGTGCAGCTCTGGGGCGCAGTCACCTGGCACATGGTCACCTGGCATGTGTGAGGGTCTGGGTTCCATCCCCAGTACCGCAGAACCAACCAGGCAACCAAAGCCAGCAAAGGCTACTGTTAAACATTCCTTGTACTACAGTGACCAAGTAGCAGATGGCCTGGGATGGCCTTCAGAGTTGCATGTAACACAAAATAAGCCAATCCCAAGAGCACGGGTCTATGAGTCTACTTACAGGAGGACTGTAGGGTCCTCAAACTCAGAGTGACAGTAGAGCAGTGGATGGGAGGGGCTGGGGGCAATTGTCCTTAAAGGGTATAGAGTTCCACTTTTGCAGGTCTGGAGACCACTTTCACAGCATTGTGGATATACTTGATATTACTGAGCTGTATGCTTCAAAGTGGTCAAGATTGTTTTTAAAATCACATTTTTAAAAAGTGTCCCCAGGTAGTCTGCATGCGTCTTGTTACTACATTCGTTATCCATTTTTTGCAGTGCTGGGAATGGAACCCCAGGCTTCACGCACCCCTGAACCACACGCAGACCCTCTTCTTTCTGTTTCCTTGTTTGAATTAAGCCTTGCCACAAGCGTTCTTTCTCACCAAGGTTTATGTGGCCGTGTGATTTTCCTATATTATGTGTGTTTTTGTAGTCGGCAAACAAGAGCGGCAGCCATGGGGGATCCCAGACTTCCCAAACTGCAGTTCGCCCCGTTCAGCAGCGCCCTGGACGTGGGCTTCTGGCACGAGCTGACCCAGAGGAAACTGAATGAGTACCGGCTGGACGCGGCCCCCAAGGACATCAAGGGCTACTACTACAACGGTAGGCGGGCGCAGGCCGCCCCGTCGCTTCCCTCGCAGAGCCAGCTTCCCTTGTTTATTACAGTTACTGATTATTGCAGAGCCGAGGGTGGGAGCCCTCGGGCAGACCACACCCGGCCACCTGGGCTCCGTTAGAAAGGGCCGCTTCTGTCCGTTCTGTGCAGCGCTCTTCTCGAGTTTCTCCTTTCCTGCCAGCCTTTGGCACAGGTTCATTTTTAAATTGCGCTTTCCCTGTTGGGAAAAAGGGAGGGAGTATGAAACGCCCTAGTTACCAATCCAGATATGAATATCTCGAGCATCTTAGGTTTCTAGCAAATCCCTCCCGTTCCCGAGACCCCTGTCCCGTTCTGCCACCGTGGGTACAGTGCAGGTCTGCAGGAATGGGGCACTTGGGGGACGACGCAGAGCCCATAACAAACATTGCTGCCGTGGGGCTCTGACTTGTTACTGAGACTGCTCATGCTTTTGTCCAGGTGACTCCGCTGGGCTGCCGGCTCGCCTGACGTTGGAGTTCAGCGCTTTTGACATGTGAGTATTTGCTTGTCCCAAATCTGAAGTAAAGAACACTTTGTGTGAGGAACAAAAACGTCTTGCCTCCTCAGAGGTGGGCCACAGTTAGCACCTTTGGAGTCTCTCGTCCCCCAGAGACAAATGCCACCTGCTTGGGACTGTCTAGGGCTAGGTTGAGAGCATATTAAATGCCAGATACCAAGTAGGTTGATTGACTCTTACCTAACTTCCCTCCTGACTTTGGTTGTAGTTTATTTTGTTCTATTTTTTGAGACAAGATCTCTCTATATAGTACTGGCTGGCCTTGAACTCGTGGTGACCTTCCTGCCTCGGCCTCCCAAGTGCTGAGATGACAGGTGTGTACCACCACACCCAGCTCTAATTTTTATGATTCTTTTTGGCACCTCCTGCCTTATTCCTGTAGTTGCTGATCCATGGATGTCAGTCAGTGAACCCTGCTTAGGCAGCTTCTTTGGCCAAGCTACTGTGCAAGTCATTATGGGGAAAATTCCAAAGATCTGGCTCAACATCCTGAAGGATCTGCCTTCCCACTCAGGAGCTATGGAGAGTCACTTGGGATAAGAGAGACATTTAGTGAGTCCCAAAGTAGCTGGGCATTTTCAGAAACAGAACCTTTTTAGACTGGCCAGGTAGGGCTTTTCTCTGTTTTTTGGACAGGGAGATCATGCATAGGTCAAAGGTGAAAGGTCACGCCTAGCTAAATTTAGAGAGCATGGAGAGAGAAGAAGAAAATTGTGCTCAGAAGGATAGTTCTGATATCCAGGCTGAGCAGCAAGGGGCATTTGTTGTCTTCTATGGAAGCAGGGAAATCTGGAGAGGGCATGATTTTTAGGAGGAGATAAATCTGGCTCGGGCAGCAACACCAGGGCCACCACATGTGTTGACTGTGGCATCTCTGGTCCCAGAAAGCTCACTGTTACTCATTGTTACTCAGGGTCTTGCTATGCAGTTCAGACTGGCCTTGAGCTCACTGTAGCCCAGGCTGGTCTCCTACTCGCAGCGATCTTCCTGCCTCAGCCTCGCGAGTGCTGGGATTACAGGGGTGTGCCACCATGCCCGGCGAGCTCATTGTTTGAAACAGACTTTTACAAAAGGTTGGCGTGGTGACCATGATCAGGGACCCTTGGAGGGTTGAAGAATTAAAAAGCTAAGTGACTCCCCTTTTGCACCCTGGCCCCTCAGCCATGTCAAGGTGAGGAATTCAGGTGACTTAATAAAGGGGGCCTTATGATGACTTTTTAAAGTGTGGCAAGTCAGTGGCTAGTGTATTTCAGATAAAGCGTCCTTAGAATTTTGCTTGTTTATTTTATTTATTCATTTATTTAATTTATTTTTTTCAAGTAAGGTCTCACTATGGATCTCAGGCTAACTTTGAACTCAGTGTAGTGCAGGCTGGCTTTGAACTCAGAATCCCTTGCCTCAGCCTTACAAGTGCTGGGCTTACAGAAGCGTGCCACCGTACCAGGCTTCCCTAGAATTGTTTTTAAACATCTCAAGAAAAAAACAATGTATTTTATTCCTTTACCTCTTTTAAATTGCGAAATTTAAAAGTATAACCTAAGCCTGAAACAAGGTTAGTCTTTGTGCATCTTGAAAAAGTGTGCGTTAGCATTTCTTTTTCCCTTCAGAGGTTTCTTACTCCATGGTAAATTCCTTGAGGTTACTTTGTCAAAACAGATTTTCATCCTAGTGATCTGCCTCCTATTTTGGCAAAGACTAACTTACTCATGGAGCAGTTATAATATAATGAGCAAAATGCTGAAAATGTTGTGAAGCATTAAATTGTCCAAAGATGGTAGAAGGGGGAATGCAGCTGGCTAGCTTTTGTGCCGTCTGAACAATCTTTTTTAACTTTAATTTTTATTAGTCCACGTTGGCAGCACATAATGGTCACATTCCTCGTGGGGAGCTGGCACTGTGCATAACACATCCTCGTTCTTGTTACGTCCCCTCCCCTGTCTCTGTCTCGATCATTTTATCTCAATGGCCTTGCTCCTATTGTGATACACCGAAATCTTGTAACCTTGTTTATCTCATAAGATTTTAATAATTGTATCTTTGGAACACTAATTAGAAAAGAGTAATTCACAGAATTTAGGTCTGATCCAATTATAAAGTTTAACCACCTTTAATTGTGTAATCAAGAAAGTTCATTAGAAAACCTGTGATCCCGCACAGTGACCTCCCCACTAAGGTTGGTTTCACTGGGCGTGCATCTTCCTTTAAGCTGCGCCTCCTGTGCCTGGGGCCTGGTGGCACGCTGTGGGAGGAAGCAGGAGGAAGCACGGCCCCAGTGCTGTGACAGTGTCCCTGCATGTGAAGTTTGAAGACCTGGTCCCTATAGCCAACTGACTGTGCTACCTCCCAAGCATGGTTTTTTTTTTTCTCAGCTCACTTTTCCTTGTCTGTGAAATAGGCTCTGGGCTTCTAACACTCCTGGTGTTTTTTTTTTTTTTTTTAAGAGAATAAAAAAGCAATAAAAATGATACAGAATTTCAAAGCAAGATGATGGGGAGTTAACATAGTTGTTACATTCCTGGTTTTGAGTGTGTAATTTTCTGAGTCCCTCTTTCCTAGCACGGTAGGAAGTTTAATGAGAGCACTTGCAGCTCCTCAGAAGGCAAGAGTTCTTTATGTCCAACTTGTCTTCATATTCTTAACCTGTCTTCATTTGCGTTGCCGTAGATCTGTGTGGGTCTGTAGGGAAAATAATGGATTTATTCCTCAAACAGTGAATGTCTACAAAGGGCAAGATGTGAAGGTGTTAGAAATAAAAGGCGGAGGAAACACGGCTCCTGCAGCTCTGCTGTACGAGCTGGGCACAGTAATGAATATGGAGAGGCGATCATTATTTACAAAAACTTCCCGATTGCTTCCTGTGTGTCTTGGTAAGCAACTGTGCCGGCTCTGCGATTCAGAGAGGAAGGAAGTACCACAGAGAGCTACAGCTCTACTCCTCATTTATGGACGCAGGAGGATCTCGCCTTTGTGAAGCATGGACAAGCCCCTTTGCTTAGAGTCCCTGGGAGTCTCAAGGACTTCTGCCAGCAGCCAGCAGCACAAGTCCTATATGCACATTGTCTGCAGTGAACTGTAGCTGAGGTTGCATTTACCAGGCACACGGTGTGCAGAAGTTCAGTCTTGGCAACCCACAATGGAGGAGCCCCACCAGAGAGGAAGTTTGTGTCTTGCTTGCTGCACCTGCTGGAGTGGTGGCCTAGTCTTCTGCATCTTGTATGTGCTCTGTTTCTGTTGATGAAGTGACAGTGGTAAAAAGAGTTTTCCTTTCTTCAGGACTCAAAAGGTAGGAGGGCTTGGATCTTACAGGCCCAGAGGCCTGTGTGCTGCAGGCTTGGTCCCCGGGGAGCAGGAAGGTGGGGCTGTGAGGATGGGTTCCGACCTCAGTGGATGGATCCATCAATAAGTTCCTGACTGAATGAGCTGCTGGGAGGGGATAGGAACTGTAGGGTGCGGCCTGTTTGGAGGAAGTGGGTCCCTGGAGAGGGGATGTCTCTTGTTCCTGGCACACCTCTCTCTCTTTCTGCCTCCCCTTCTCCTTTCCATCTCCTCTCCACCAGGAGCTAAGGGGCTTGCTCCTGCGCATTCTCCACCACACCTCACCACAGGCCCAGAAGCAATGGAGCCAAGCGTCCATGGACTAAACCCCCTGAGCCTGTGAGCCAGAGTAACCCTTTTCTCCTTGAAGTTTTCCTCACGGTGATGAAATGCTAACACAGATGACAAACATTTGAATAAGGGACATCTCCCTGGGCTGCTTTCTCTTGAGGATTATTCCTTTTTAGTCAAAGGTCTTTCTTACTTAAGCCTCAAATGGACTTCGAGAAAGAGAGAGTGTGCATCGATGTGGGCAGAGCAGAAGCTGTGTCTGTCTTGGGGCCCCTCTGTCCTAGCACTTGGAAGGCTCTGCAGGTGCTGGCTGCCCAGGTAGCTGCTGGAGTGAGGTGGAGTGGTCTCGCGCAGGCAGAGAAGCTGTGAGTATGGAGCGAAGCTCCCTAACCTCCTCTGCTGTTCCTCTGGAGGACTTGTTCCCTCTTGGCCACCTGCCTGCGTGCTGGTCACATGCAAGCAGCCCTGTGGAGGAGTGCTTCTTGAGTGATCACTGAACATGGGTGAAGTGGGGGCCCAATGGACTGGTAAAGGATAGTAAATGAATCCATCCTTTACCAGTGCATTAGTCAGCTTTGCATTACTGTGGTGAAACACCTGGCGCAGCTAACTTTATAAAGAGAAGAAGTTTCTTTGCCTCACATTTAGAAAGTTGAGAGTCCAGCATGGGCGCATTGTTTGGCCTTTTGTGAGAGCAGTGGGTGATGGGAGTGTGTAGCAGCAAAAGGCCACATCTCAAGTGGGACCAGAGTGCAGGAGAGAAGGCAGAACCAGACTCAGGCTTTTATAAGAGTCTACCTACCGAGGCAGCACCTGGGACCTCACTCCCACCCAAGGGGGCTACCACCTCCCCTACGGCCAGCCTGGGGACCAGGCCATGGACATGTGGACCTTAAAGGAACACTCAGCTGCCAAACCTCCACACCAGCTGCTGAGGACTCACTGGGGGCTTTTGCACAAGGGAGGATTTCCCATTGATATGCATGTAGAAAGCCCTATTGAGGCTTAATTTGCATACATTGCAACTCAGTCACAGGAAATCCGCATGCCATCAGCTTTTAATATTCATGAAGCTTTGCAGCCATCACCACTGTTTAACCATAGAGCAAGCAGTTCCATCTCCCCAAAAAGAAACCTTTGGCCATTACTGCTCACCCCCTCTGAATTCCTCCAGCCCTTGGCAACCAACAATCTATTTCCTGTCTCTGAGAACTTGCCTATTCTGGACATTTCATAAAAACAGAACCATAGAAAACTAACTAGCTATCAGGACCAGGATTTAACTAAACTGCTCCACCCCCAAGTTTGAGCTCGTCCCCTTCCATGATCATGTTTTTATTCATTACCATGGCCCCCAGTTATGAAAACTGCTTCTCCTTGGAGACTTTAACTCATGTCCCTCCTTACATTGTCCGAGTGCTGAGTTCCTCGGAGCCAGCCTTGACCTCCTCCTTGGTCAGAGCCAGGGTTTGGTGTGGCTGCACATCCAGGGCAGTCGGATGTTTAGGAAGAGGGGTGCTGGCTTCCTTTGTGTTTGCATCAATGTGACATGACTGTGTCTTTCTTGTGACCCGGCATCCTGGTTCAGCCCTGAGTTCAGAGAGCCACGTGTGCGGGGAAGGTCCGGCCCACCCCTCTGCCTGTGGGCTGCCTGACCTCCGTGACTTTCCGCTTTCCAGAGGTGGCCTTTGATGTCCTCCGTTCACCTGGATGAACACTGTTCCTTACGGGAGGGGCATGGTGACAAACCACCTGTGCTTGGCTGACTCACAGCTCCTAGGGGACAGCTCTGGCCATGCAGTCACCCCCACCCGACACACTTGGCATTTGACAGTGACCTGGCACTCACTGTGGCCACTGCAGCTGCTCCAGGTTTATGTCTCTTTTTCAGCCCCTGAATCCAGTGTCACACAGAACCCAGTGTGCCAGTCTCTGAGTGAGAGGACACCAGGTCGTTTGCACCATGTAGCTCTCATTGGCTTAATGAGTAACAGTGCATTCTGTCTGTGCTCACTGTGACAATAAGCAGGTCACTGATAAAATGAGCATTTTCTCATCTGTAATCTCAGAAATGCAGGTTAATCACTTCAGAGAAGAGAGCAGACCTGTCCGTGTCTCACTGGGTATTCAGAGTCAGCTCGTCCTCCCTCCTCCTGACTTCTCTGGGGTCTGGGAGCCCTGTGGGGCCACACAGCGTGTGCAGTCTCTGAGGTGCCTAAACTGACAGGCAGCCCAGGCCGGTGCATCTTGCCTGTGTGGCTCTGATGACCCACAGGGACTTGCTTGGCAGCAGCTATGTGCAGACCCCTGATTGGGTGGGCCAGGTTGTAGGATGGGCCGCCCCCTTAGGGACCTTTCTGCCTTCCTGTCAAGTGTATGTGACTGTTGTTCTTAGAAAAGCCCTATGTGCCAGCTGTCACTGCCGAGGATGGAGTGGCTTCCTGGAGGAGGAGGCCTGGAATGGGGCTTTGGTACCCAAGCAAAGGTTTGAGCAGGGCCTGGCACATGACACCTTGGGGTCAACTGGCTCTGGCTCCAGATTCCACTCTGCTCAGTATTGTGTGACCCTTGGCATGCTGCTTAAGCCTTTAAATGGGAAAAAGAACTGCCTTACAGTTCCTAGCTAAGTAATGTTTCACTCTTAGGTTGAATCCAGGAAAGAATAAAAAGGAGGAGGGGCATTTCTATTTGGGAGGTGGTGAAAGAAGAGGCAGCCCACAGGTCAGGATAAAGGGGTTCTCTAGGCTTCTTGTGAAATGGCCCCTGCTTTCAACAATGGGACTCATCCTTTCCCAAGAGGTGGCAGTCAGTCTTCTCTCTGACGAGCTGAGTGATGCTGCTGTTTGCCTAGGGTTCTTGTTTAGATCTAAAGTGCCCCACTAATGTTTTGTGTTTCCAGAGGTGGGGTTTGAGGGAGGTGACTGGATGATGGGGCATTGTGGTCAATACTAGGTTCATCCATGGATGAGTTCACAGCTGACTGTGCTGTTGGAATGTGGGGCCTGTCAGAAGAGGTGGGTCACTAGGCTGTGACCGGGAAAGGTATGTTCTTGTCCCAGATCTTCTTCACTCTGCTTCCTGGCCACTACATGGTGAGCAGCTTCCCTCCACACCAGGTCCTTCTACCATGCTGTCTGTGCCTTGGAGCCTATCACCATGAACTGAACCCACTAAAACCATGAGCCTGAATAAACCTCTCCTTTGTTAAGCTGCAGTGACAGGAGCAGACTAATACACCTGGGTGTACCTGTCACTCCGTGGCTCATGCAGAGTCCCACTATTCTTGGCTAACTGCGTCTCTCACCTGTAGGAGTGCCCCCACGCCTGCGCACTGCTGCCCTGCTGTCGGAACACTGCACAACACCAACACGCTTGAGGCTTTCAAGACTGCAGACAAGAAGCTGCTTCTGGAACAGGCGGCAGACGAGGTTAGCCAGGCAGCCCACATGTGTCTACTCCATTTCCCGGGATCTTGGCACTGTGCCGTCTCTGATCAGGAGCCTGGATCTGTTGTGAAAAACAAGTGTTTGCAGGTTTCTGGATATTTCCCCAAAGAGAATGACCCCTGTCCAGAGATCAGGCAGAACCCAGGCTCTGCACTGGGGACAAGCCGGAGATGCATGTGACTGAAACGGAGGTTAACTGACCATCCCTACTGAGCAGTTTGGAGCAGCTCAGCCTCTCTTGTGGGTTACAGTGCTGTGGCTGCTGGTGAGAGGATGCCTGGTCCTCTGTGCCCAGAGAGTCTTGGCAATCCTGTGCAGCATGGTGCCATGGGAGTTGTGCACAACGTCTCTCCAGCATCTTTGGGCTGATGTGATCTACTCAGCTAACTTGCAAGCTCCCTGTGGCCTGGTCCCTGCCAACCTTCCTGTTCTGTCGTTCTTGTCTTTGTGTTCTCTGACATAGTCACAGTAGTTATGTAGAACTCCCTTCACCTCCTGTCTTAGTTGCTTTCTTATTGCTGAGACACAGTACTTGACACCCACACCTTAAAGGAGGAGAGGTTTATTTGACTCACAGTTTGTAGAGATTTCAGTCCACAGTTGGCTGGCTCTGGGGCAGGGTAGCATGGCAGAAGAGAAGCATCTCATGGTATGACAGGCAGGAAACAGTGGGAATGAGGGGGGAGGAAGGAAATGAACTTTCCTAGGCCACACCCCCAGCAACCTACTTCATCACCAGACTTTGCCTCCTAATATCACGTTTAGCTGTAAACTCAGCAGTGAGAGCACTCACTGGTGATTACATGGCTCCATCATCCAGTCCCCTCCCCAAAGCCCACCCCTGAGCACAGGAGGCTTTGGGGGCATCTGAATGTAACCATAATACCTCCTTGGGGTTCTCTCTTCCTGGCGTGTCCTCCTGTTCTTCACATCTGAGTTAGTGAGATTAAAATTGGAGTGGGGAGGAAGGAGAAGGACAGTTCATCCCAGTCCCCCTCAACCCACTTAATGAAGAGGTCTTAGAACCCGCCTTAAATCAATGCCACCTTGTACACCCTGGATGGCAATGTGCTAGTACCGCCCTTGTGTCTACTAGTGTGACTATTCCTCAGGAAAAGAAAACCAGAGCTCCTGTAGGTCCAGCCATTCCACTGCCTGGTACACATCCAGAGGAAGTGATCCAGTGTGTGGGAGAGATACCCGCACACCCATGCTCATGGCCATGCCGTTGACAATAACCAAGATGTGGAATCAGCCCAGGTGTCCATCAGTGGGTGAATGGATAATGGAAAGGTGCTACTTATTCCTACTGGAGTATTATTCAGCCCAAAAAACAATGAAATCCTTTGCAGCAATGGAGAACATAGTATAAATGAAATAAGCCAGGCACTGAAAGACAAGTGTCGCCTATTCTCATTCATCTGTGGAAGCTAGAAAAGTTGGTCTCATAGAAATGGAGAATAAGCCAGGCGTGGTGGTGCACACCTGTAATCCCAGCACTTGGGAGGCTGAGGCAGGGGGATCGTTGTGAGTTCGAGACCAGCCTGGGCTACAAAGTGAGCTCAAGGCCAGCCTGAACTGCATAGCGAGACCCGGTCTCAAAAAGACCCCAAAAAAAAAAAAAAAAAAAATGAAGAATAGTTATGGTTGCCAGAGCTGGGAAGGGGAGGTGGGGAGAGGGTAGAGACGGGGCAGACAGCAGAGACCCATGTTCAGGAGGAGTGAGGTCTAGTATCCTATAGTGCAGCATGGTAACTAGTGTACAGTAATTTATTGCATATCTCTAACTAGAAGAGAGGAACCTGAAGGTTCCCAATGAAGAGATACTAATTACCCTGATTTGATCCTTATACATTGTGTATATGTGTTGAATTTTCACACTGTACTCCATAAATGTGTACACTTACGTGTCAGTTATCAAGACTTTCTGCAAGCACCATACTAACATAATAATGATATCAAATGTAGGAGAACAACAGGAATTCTGTTTGTGTGGGTACAGGGTTCTCAATGCAGGCTCCTCTCTTGCCCCTGCAGTGGATTCACTCATGGCCCCACTTGCCCTGTGGCCTGTCTGGCTGTGGGCCTCCTGCTTTGTCTTCATATCTAAAAGAAGGCTCTGGAGGGTCGGGTCAGGTCTTAATCCATGGTGGGAAGAAGCAGGTTGCTGCTCCCAGGACTCAAAGCCCTGGAGGAAGCTTGGGCCTCTCCCCAACTCCCGCACCCCATGGGCTGCTCTTCCTGGGCCCAGCCCTCCAAGAGCACGATGTCAGGAACAGGCACTTCCTTCTCTCTGCTCCCTTCCCTCACAACTGTGCTCAGGAAACTGTTTTTTTATGGCACAACTGTTTTGTCCTACTTAGCAACACAGAGTGTAGCAACAAATCTTAGTGATAAAACATCCTGAGCTCTGCAGCTCCTGACCACGACCAGCTTCTTGTCCAGGCACAGCACTTGCTGAGTGTACACAAACTTGCATTTCATTCTCCTTCCTTCCCCTCTCTAGGGCAAGAGAATCCTAAGTAAGGCTTTAAGAAATCACCTCTGTGTAGCTAAGATCCGTGCTTTAGGCCCCTCCTGAGCTCTGCACCCCTCTCCCAGCCAGGGCTGAGGTTCGTCCTGAGAATCCCATCCACTTCTCAGTGGCAGGCCTGAACCTGTGCACGTGGGCCTGGCCTGTCCCTGGACGAGGTACTTCCTGCGGGTGGGGACTATGTTGCTCACTTCTGTAACCCTGCTGTGACTGGTACTGTATGCAGGAAGGAGGTGATGAGCAGGAAGTCTGGAGAGTGGCTCGAGGCCTATGGGGAGGCTGTGCAGGGCTCCCTCAGACTCGGGCAATGGGGAGCTGGCTGGCAGAGGAGCAGTGCCAGCCTGGATGAGGAAGAACACAGTGCTCCTCAGATCCACGCTTTGCCAGCAGTGAGACACCCAGAGATGCTGGCCACCTGACTTGATGCTTTTCCTTCTTCCGGCAGATCTGGGAGTCCATCAAGTCGGGTGCTGCTCTTGAAAACCCTGTGCTCCTCAACAAGTTCTTGCTCCTGACGTTTGCAGTAAGTAATAGGTGTCCTGTTGTGCAGAGACTGGTGAGGTCCCCTGTGGACCAGCAGCAGAACAGCGTGTTCTCTTCCCTCCAGAGCTCTTCCCTCCCATTACTCTTGGTAGCTGTTATAAAACAGCTTCTTTGATGAGTGGCCAGATAGTGCTGGCACCTGCTAGTAGTGCAAAATTAGTTCATCTCTCCTGATCACATTGGCGGTAGCAGTATGGTTTCTATGACACAGGCACCCAGCTCCTGTTTCTCAGGACATTATAAAGCTGGGCTGAAGTCTTTGTTAGGTATACTCCTGCAGGGCACAGCTGCTGGACCCATCGTGTTGGCCAGCTGTCTGTCACTGTGGAAAAGACCTGAGATAACTGACTTCTAAGGAGCAAAGGCTTGTCTGGCTCATGGCTTCAGAGGTTTCAGTCCATGGCACTTGGCCCCACTGCCTTTAGTCCTGTAACAGCTCAGCACATCACAGTGGGAGGAGCTTGTTACAGAGCTGCTCTCATGGCTGCTGGGAAGTACAGAGAGAGACAGGACCGGTTAGGGTCCCAGTGTCCTGTCGGAGGCCACGCCCCCAGTGACTCATTCCTTTCACAAGGCCCTGGCTCCTAAAGGTTCTCCTGCCCCTCAGCAGCACCACAGACCGGTGCCCAGGCCTTTACACGGGCCTGTAGGAACCCTCCAGATGCTGCCAGATAGGGGAGGAGGCTTCTAGATGAGAAGAGATCATGTACACGGCTTGGCCACACAATGGCTGCTTTTTGAGAAAGAAAAACATTGTCTATATGTGAGATCTCATTAAATCAATTAGGGCAGCCTTGAGAAGGAAGTCACAGGAGGGTGACGGCTGCTGCCTAAGGAAGGAGGGTTATAGGGAGGATGGAAGGACCTGGGCTCAGCGCAGTGGGAGGTAGAGGAAGGGAAAGTATTGCTCATGGAGATGCCAGCTGCTTCCTCCTCGCTCGCGCTCTCTCTCTCTCTGACACACACACACACACACACACACACACAAGTGCGTATGTGCATGCACACTCCCCAGTTTAAGGTTCAGCTCAGGATTTCCAACCTCTTGTTGGCATGAGAGCGTATCCATAGAGCCCCTTCATTCTTCACTCGCAGCGTGGTACCCAGTAAATTACACAAGACGCACAACACTAAGAGGCCTCGCGTGACTTGATTTTGCCCAGTGTAGGCTGGCATAAATGTTCTAAACACATTGAGGCAGGTGAGACGCAGCTGTGATGCTTGGAGGGTATCATTTTGTTTTAAATTTTATTTTATTGGTACATTTTAGATAAACAATGATAACATTCATCATAGAGAATTTGTACTGGTGCACGGTAGATCTTTTTTTATATGATGTTTTCACTTCACAGATTTATCTGACTGTAAGCCCAGCATGAGTCAAAGAACATTCATATATGTTTGTGTGTATGTGTGTATCAAACTGACTTGTGCTTTGAACTTACATTGATGGTAGTGTTCTGTTCCAGTACATTCCATAGACTTGTCTTGCACGCTTCAGATATTCCTTATTGAAGGAAACGGTGCAGTGAGCACTGCTGGCCACAGTGATACTTCTTCTACTTCTTTCATTTATTTAGTGTGAGTTCTCTGGAGGGGGCCTATAAGTGTATTAACATTGGCCTGTGAGTATTTTGTCTCCACAGTTTTGTCAGCCTTGGATATTAAGCCTCTTCTGCACATCATGATTGTTATTAACCAAGTTGCAGGTCTTGCCTTTCTTCCTCTCCTACTGCCCCCTGCCCAGGAGGGAGGTGTGGAGCTCACGCTGAAGGCCACACCACAGGTTTCTAGATGCACTTTGACATGGGACGTTTGGGTATAAATCTAAGTAATATGATAGGTTATCTGCTAGGGTAGACTTCGATATTGCTAAAGATTTCTGGGTTTGTGAGTTGAAGATCAGCCCTCCTCGACTCCCCTCCTTGACTTCTTGTTAGTAGAACACATTGACCATTTGTGTTTAGTCAGAAAAACAACATTAGCTCTTCAAGTTTTAAGGTGTTCCCTAGAGTCAGTATGAGTGTTGGCCTTGTTGCCAGTTTTATAAAGCATCCTGAGCCTTGCTTTATAAAAATTTTAAACTCTTAAAATCTTCAGACACAAAGGACTTTACGTTAAATTTGATTGAGATCCTTTGTGTCCTGAAAAGAATCCTAAGAAATTCAAGCCTTTTGACTTTTGAAGATGACCTGATAAAGCTCCTTAGAGTATGGGGTCCTTCACCTTGAATTGTTTAACCTTTTGCTAAAGATCAGCTGTGACAAATCATCTCAGTACAAAGAAGAGTGAATCCTCTCTGGAGTGCTTTTGCTTTCCTTTCTGCTGTTTTTAGGCCTCTAAGGACAAGGCACTCCATTAATTTCAATTTTGCATTTGTTTTGCCATTGTGAAAAGGGAATTTTTTTCTAGGTGTTCACTTAGTGGCCAAGTTAGAGCCTGGAGACTGCTAGACTTCATCTGGAAATTGTTTATGTTAAAAGTTATATTTTAAAAAGTCATCAAATGCAATTGCACTTATGTGAAAGAGCCAGAACAGGCAAATCCATGGTGACAGATGATAGATTAGTGGTTGCCGGGGGGTGGGGAGAGTCCGGAAGGGTAGCTTTTGCTGACAGCTTCAGCATTTCTTTGGGGAAATGCAAATGCACAATTTAACTCTGTGAATTTTATGATATGTGAACTATATGCCAATAGAGTAGTCATTTAGCTGGCCGTGGTGGTGCATGCCTGTAATCCCAACACTCAGGAGGCCGAGGCAGGAGGATCACCGCAAGTTCAAGGCCAGTCTGGGCTACATAGTGAATTCAGGGCTGGCCTGGACTACATAGAAAAACCCTGTCTCAAAAAAAAAAGTTGTTTAACAGCCATTCAGTTTTTATTCTTAGCAAGATTGAAGAAGATATATTAACTATCCCTGAAGCAGTGTCCATAGTCAGTGGTCATGGGTCGGTAAGGCAGCTACCCATGCCCACAGAAGGCTGGGTTCTGTGACATGAGTGAGTGAGGCCCTGAGCACCGTAGTAATTCAGAGCCACGAACCCTTAGCCAGCAGGGTCGAGGACAGTGCCCAAATCCTGTCCCTTGTGTACTTCCCCAGGGGTAGGAGTGGCCATACTCAGGAAGATATCACCTCCTATATCATTGATACTTGCTCTTGCTTGACACCTGTGACACTCTGCCTTACTCATAGGCTCCCCACGTGGGAAGCATTTGCCTAGTGCCTGGGGCTGTGGCCCACTCAGCTTATTATCAGGGTGTCTGTAGTGGATTGACAATGGGTGGTCAGCTTATAACCCCCAGCTGAACTGAGTAAGTGTGGTGCTGGGTGTGGGAGGCCCACCTGAGGACTGTTGCCAGCAGCATAAGAGGCAGAACTGGAGAAGGAGAGGCTGTTGGGAACTGAGAAAGGCTGTTGGGAACTGGTAGAAGCTGTAAGGAGCTGTTGGTTCTTTTGGAGGAGCTCGTCATGCTGACTTTCCTGATGAACTTGGCTGTTTTCATCCTCCGAGGAGCTCTGGACCTTGTTGGCACTGAGAATAGTGGTTCACTTTGGGGGAGCTCTGGTACTTACTTTGAGCACTGCTTCCTGGCTCCAGAGGGGAAGATGGTGCACTGCCAGTCTCCTGGAGAAGCTTGCTGCGTTGGCTTCCCTGATGGGAACTCAGCTGTCTTCACCATCAGAGGAGCTTGGGACCTCACTGTTACACAGGGTGGCTGTGGTACTTTTCGGGGGAGCTCTGGTTCTTACTTTGCACATCGCTCCCTGGCTCCAGGAGATCCCTCAGCCTGCTAGCACAGATCCTTCATCCCACTGGCATAGACTTCCTAGATTCCATCACTGACCTTTGGGCCTTCCCAGCACAGATCTGTGAAAGAGGCCTGCCTGAGACATTGCTATGGGCTCTAGGTCTTCAGCTGGACTCATGCAGGACATTATCGCAGAATCCAGGCCCTCAGCTGGATTCTTGGTCTATAGTGTGTGGACAGATTTCCTGCACTCTCTTGTATATAATTCTTTAGGTGACTGTTACAAATAATCTTATAAAATATGTGTCCTGTATTGTATGTTCCCCTTGCAAAATAAGCACCAAACCATGACGTGTCTCATATTGTACCTGGCATGAAGGAAGTGCTTAAGAATCATGGTTTGGGTTTTGCCAGGAAGTTGTTTAGGACAGCAGCGTTATAGAGTCTGGGCATTGTTAATCTGAAAATCTCAACTCAGAAATTCTCCAGAATCTAAAGCTTTTTGAATATCATCCCACAAGTGGAAATTTCCATACCCAGAATGGAAAGAAGTTGCAATCAAAATATAAGTGCCTTAAAAATATTGTACGAAATTACCCTCAGGTGAGGTGTAAATAAGATGTGAATGAATGTCATTGTAATGGTTGATACATTGTGTCAACTTGAGGAGTTTTGTTTTTTTTTTTTTTTTTGGGTTTTCTCCGGTACCGGGAACCGAACTCACGACCTTGCACTTGCCAGGCAGGTGCTTTTGCCGCTGAGCTAAATCCCCAGCCCTTCTTGAGGAGTTTAAAAGCTTAACTAAGTAACTCAGCAGTTCTACATCTTGGGTATAGAGGACATGCCCTTACTCCTCTAGGATGCTGTTCATTGTGTCAACTTGAGAAGTTTAGAAGTTTAACTAAGTGATTCACCAGCAGGCCAGGATCCTCACTTTGTAAACATCCTGAACCTGTTCAAGAGGAGGGCAGGGAGATGGTGTGAGTGTTACACCCCACCCGAGAGCCTGCTTATAATATAAGAGAGGGAAAGAGGCTTCCTCTTCTCCCTTTTGCTCTTGCTGCTTTTGCTGTCTTCTACTACCCTAAAGTGTTGCCCCTGTGCCATGCCACTCTGCCTTGGAACCAGCTGGTTATAGACTGAGACCTCCACAAACTGTGAGCTAAATAAACCTTTCCTTCTTTAACTTTGGGCTGAATATTTTGTCTCAGCAAGGAGAAAAAAGTAACTAAGACAGTCATTTTAGATTCATGTCTCAGCCCACAATATCTCATTATGCAAATACTCTAAAACCTGAAAAAATCCAGAATCCAAAACATCTCTGGTTCCCGAGAAGGGCTGTGTTAGGCAGGTGGAGGTGTGTGAGCGGCAGTGCTTTCTCGACAGTGGGCTTAGTGTGTTTGATTGTGAAGAGAGTGGACCTTCAGGCCGTGCCTCTGAGGTGGGAGCCACATTGCTCAGATGGAACCAAGGGAAAAAGCAGACATTTTGGGAGTAGAGTTCTCCTGCCTCTCCTGCTGTCTTTTTGTTGTTGTTCAAATCCTTCATCCTTTTCTTTCTCCTGCTCAGTCGTTATTAAGTGCATATTAATTTCCTTTCCGTCTATGTAAGGGTCAATTTTCTGTCTGTAATGGGATGATTATAGCTACCCCTAGGGTGGGGTGTGGTAAAGCATGGCCATGACAACATCAGTAACCTAGTGCACATTTTCTGTTAGCACGTGACTGGTACAGTGGGTTATGGTCACCATTATATCATCAGTGTGTCAGGTGTGAGAGTATTTGGGGATTAAGATAGAAGTTCTATATTCTGTCAATTTCTGTTGGAGATGAGACCATTTAATTTAACAAGCTGGATGTATTTTGTGCTCATTGGAGTTTGTCTCTTAACTGGCTGAGATGTTACACGAACAGATACATGTCAGTTTAATCATTGGTGGTGTTCTCATGTCTTGTGTTATACTTTTTATTCTAGGATCTAAAGAAGTATCACTTCTACTATTGGTTTTGCTATCCTGCCCTCTGCCTTCCAGAGAGCATACCTCTCATTCAGGAGCCAATGGCTTTGGATCAAAGGTTTTCATCAAAACAGGTATCAAAAAACAAAAGAAAGTGCAGGTAAAATTGGGTTTGATGTTCAGGAGTAGGTGTTTTTTGTGCCAAAGACAAACAGACGCATCTTTAAGACAGGCACCTGGGCAGAGTTCCAGGAAAGCTAAGTGGTGTTATTAGGTGGCACTTCTCTTCATTTGCTACAAGAGTAACAGAGATGATTGGTCATTTCCAGTCTTTTCAGCTTTAAGGTACCTGTCATTTCATGTCAATTTTTACTCAGCAGGACGTGTGTAATTGTCTACAGAATAACTCCACTCTTTCTGTTTGCAGATCCATGCCCTCCAGCGTGCATATGATGGTCTCTGCCAAACAGAAGGAGTCTCGGCCCTGCCGTACTTCTTAATCAAGTATGATGACGATGCAGTGCTGGTTTCACCGCTTAAACACTACAGTGACTTCTTCCAAGGTCAAAGGACAAAGGTCAGAGAAACTTTGAGTATCTGTTGCCTGGTAAAAAGTTCGTGTTACCATAGATCACTATAAAATGATCTGAAAATCCACTCAGGTAGATTTCCTCAGCCTCACACAGGCTGGTTTGGAACCTAGTTCCTTTGTCCACCCTCTCCCACCCCTGCGACTGAACTCAGTTCCCCGTACAGATCATCCCGCCATGCCTCACTTGACATCAATGCCCGGGTTATCTCCCCTTCTCTCCAGGTTTAGCTCACATCCATGTTTTAACTTCTGGTCCCTGCCAGTGGTCCAACCAGGCCCTGCTCGTCTCCTGGGCAGTCAGGGTTTTCTTGCTTCTGTCCTGCATATCCCAGTGTAGAACAGTCTTCCTGGCACTGCTGGCCTTTGTCTTGTGCCCAGGCCAAGAGGCCAGGTTGTCTTCCTTCTGGCTCAAGCTGCCTTTCCTGCCTTTCCATCTAATATTCTTGTAAATGATCGCTCCAGCAAGCCCGACGGTTTTCACCAGCTCTTCCCCCTTTCCCCCGGCCCAGTACACCCGGGACTCTTTCAGGGTTTTCTGGGTGTGTCTTTTCCTAGTGCTGTGTCATCGCCCTCAAGCATATTCTACCTGTGGAAACCCCATTGACTTAGTTAAGTTTTCTCTCATTGCTGAGACAAAATACCTGACACCCAGAGTTAAAGAAGAAAGATTATTTAGCTCACAGTTTGTAGAGGTTTCAGTCTACAGTTGGCTGGCTCCAAGATGGGGTGGTTCGACAGAGTGGCATCACAGATGAGAAACAGTTCATGTGGCAGAAGACAGCAAAAGCACCAAGGGAGAGACAAGGCTCTTTCAGTCCCTTACTGTATGCAGGCTCCCCGCCCTAGGGCAGGTATAGCAGCTGCACCCATAATGCCAGCATTGGACCATGAATCAGTCACAAACTAGATTTAGCCACCTGTGGAAAGCCTGCTCCCAGACTGTATGAGGCTTTGGGGTGACATCTAGACACGAACCATAACACCCATGGAATCCTGTCTCTCTTAGTGAACCATCCCTGCATTGTTCTGGGACTGGTTCATGTGCTCCTAGTCCCCAGCCTCACTCGCAGGCCCAGGGTCTCCTCTAGTCCTTTTGTTCTGTATCAGACTGGAAGCTCCTAGAGGGCAGTGTCCCTGTCTTGTCTTCTCTGACCCTCGTGTCTGACACCGTCTGAGGCCTTCAGCATTCTTTAAGATGAAGGAAAGAGTACTGTAAATGTCTTTTAGAAGGGATCAGAGCTAGAGTAAGCTATCTCAACCATGCAGGACATACAAATTAAAAGTAAAAAATGAATGAGTAGTAGGAAGTTGAGAGATCAGGTGGAATGAATTCACTAGCCATGTAAGTATGTCAGAGCTGAGAAAAAAGCCCCTGAACTGGAGAATTTCTCCTTACTTGAACCCAGTGTGTCTTTTTTATTTGTTTGGTGTTGGGGATTTAACCCAGGCCATTGTGAATGCTAAGCAGGCACCTCTTCCACTGAGCTGTACATTCAGCCAGGACGTCTTTTAGAGGCACATTTTTATTTTTTGAGACAGGATCTGGATGTATATTTTAGGCTGGCCTCAAACTCACTATATAGCCCAGCCTGGACTGGAACTCGAGGCAGTCCTTGCCCCAGCCTCTCGAGTGCTGGGGTTATAGATGTGCACCACCATGCTCAGTTCTGAGGCACATTGCTTTTAATCAACTACATTAGCATTTTGCTTTTCAGCATTTTAAAGCAAAGAGTGAGGATTTAGTTACTGTTAAAGTCTTTTTTTTTCCCCCTCCAGAGGATACTACAGAACTGCAGCTGCATTGGTAGCGGTCAGACCAGAACTGTTCATAAAGTCCAGGGTAGTGTGTGGCAGCAGGCGGCCATAGGTCAGGAAACAAACTCCTCTCCCCTAAAGTGCTCTAATGAAATAATAAAAGTTTGCAGAGAACTGTGTGCTTTGAAAGAGGCTTTCACAAACTTGTGTATTTCATGATTCTGTCAAGTACGTGGAACAGTGTCTGTGTGTTCTGCCTGAAGAAAGTGAGGTGGGCGGTCCCTGTGGTCTGACCCCAGAGCCCCTACGCTTTCTCCCTTCCCAGGTCCACATCACTTGACCTTGGGGATGCAACATAGACCTTGATTTGTCACGCAGCGTTGCCCTGGCAGCTCTGTGACCTGGTGAAGGCCCGTACCTTCTCCTGCCGTACTTTTTCTGTGAAGCGGGGGCAGCACTACCGCACACACAGATCTGTGCTGGTGACTGCAGTGCTCGCATGAGCAGGTGCCCGGTATCCCCACTTCTTTTCTTCCCCACGGACAGCTGAGCAAATCTTGATCTCCTCTGCAGCATTTGTGGGGAGTGACCAGACTCCTGTCCCTGGGCCCCGTCTGCCTGCCTGGGCCTCACGTCTTCCTCCCCTTGGCTGGAGACATCTGACCCTTCGTGTCCTCCCATTGCTCCTGAAACCCTCCTAGGTCCCGCTGGCTTCAGGCTGTGGTCAAGGCTGTATCGCTGGGGCTCCTGCTCATCACCCATCTCATCTCGTAACAGTCTTCGAGGCACAGATGCCACGTGTTGTCCCCTATCTCTGCCCCACATGTGGCTGTGTCTGTCTCTGGCTTGTGCCTTACCCATCTTTCCAGTTCCTCACGCGAGGAAGCCCTGGCTGGCCCCTTGCTCCATCTCATCTGCCTCTCCGGGGTTCAGGTGTGCCCATCCTCCTGGCACCTGTGAGCTGGAAGGGTGTTTCTGATCCGCCTGCCTGTCTTCTCGGCAACCTGCAATCCACTTCAGCACAGCAGCTTTGTCTTGCCTGCCTCCGTGCCTGCCATATTTACCAGTGCTGGCCTCTGCAGGGTCACGCTGTGATTGTGGACTCTTCCTGTCCAAGAGAGCTTGGTGGGGAGCAGGGCTTGAGCGGAAGCCATGGAAATGACTTCCGTGAAACCTGGGGGGACTGGTAACTGTTCCTACTTTTCTTGCCTTACCCCGATTCACTCTCCAGTGTAATTCCAGCTTCTCTGAGTCTACTTCACATCATGGCCTCTCCTTGAAGGCCCCTCACTCTTCTTCCTAGAACAGACGCTCTCTCCAGTACGTGCTCCCTCCCTTATACTCTGGCTTCCTGCTTCACCTTACCTTTAGAGAAAGGTTTATTGTACCTATTATGGATTCTGTAGCACTCTGGATCCCTTCTTTATAGTATTTCCTTTGGGCAGTTGTAAATTTATATTTTATTAGGTGATCTTTGATTAAAATCCTTTGCTCCGGGGCTGGGGATTTAGCTCAGCGGCAAAAGCGC